TGATTACACGTATACTTACTAGCCATACTCGTCAGGCACTTTCGTTCCTTTGCTATTAGGTTGTGGGCCAAGTCCTACCCAGAAATACGTGTCTGTTCCTCGTTCCTCGTACGTGAATTCCGGTATTTTGATAGTTTTTGAATCTATGATCACAATGGGACCCGAAGACACTCCGTGCGATCGTTTTGTTAGTTGAGAAATCTTCTGTGGTGCAGGTGGATCGAACTCGTCCGGAATGTACACGTCTCCAAACGTATTCTGAAGAAAATATTTCCGGTACGTATATTTTTCGGTAATTCCTGAATATTTTCTAATGTTTTTCATTGCAATTATCATACAATACCTGACTTCCCAGATCGTACACAGCGAACCATTTTATATCAGTTATTCTCTTATTGTCCGGTAAGGTAAGAGTGAAATCTTTATTTAGATATCGATCGAGAACATTTGTTCTGAAACAAAAAGGTACCTTTTTAATGATTTCTTGTTCCTCGCAAAATGTATTCTACAACAAAATAAACTAACTTGCCCCATTCATCAGGCACGATGAAACCTTGTGGGCCAGGTCGATTCGATGCGCCAGCCCAGAAGAAAGTATCGGCTCCATTGCCATCGTAGCTGAAGGATGTTAACAACAATGTGTACTCATCGACCACGTAAACGTCGCCAGCAACTTGATGATGATACGCGTTCAACTTGCCAAGGTATTTCCCTCTGTATTCCTCGCGATCTGACTCGTCGACACCTGTTGATTTCATTCCATCGTGAATCACGTTAAGAAACTTCGATAGAAGTAGAAGTTCTTTGTTCTCGCGAGTAGAACATTATTTTTAATAGTGTAATTAAACACATAATATGTTAGATATTTCTCACGTTTGTGAATTGAATATTCAAAAAATTGAAGATTATTTAACATCGAAACTATACTTACATTGATACTAAAATTGTATTCAATATTGCAGTTATATTTGACTCAAGTCAACATGATATTTTAAGAATTTCTTAAAACTATTACAACCATATTTGATTTGTAAATATCTTATTTAATTATAAATCTGAAATAAATCTGTATTTATTATTCGACAGCGGATTTTCTTATAAAAAGTTTGAAGATGGAAAAATATGCAGAATGCAATATTCAATTAACTTTCATTTTTTTTTCTTTTTTTAACTATTTATAAAAATATAAACCCATGCGTAAGTATTCTCAGTTCATTTACTATATTAGACTTCAATCCATTCTTGAGAATGAACTACAAACAAATATATTTGACAAGCAGAGATTTCAACGCGTGGTCAACATCATTCCGCTGCCCACCGATCCATTTTGTCAAAGTGTATGTTTTCCTCGTAAAAGCGAGTATTTCGAGAAACGTACCACAGACGGGGAGAAGCACGCATGTTAGAACTGTCACAAGAACAGGCGTTATCCACCGCTTCATAACATTTGCCATCACTTCATCTTCCTTGTATTGACGCGAATGCCTCAGGTCTTGTTCCTGAACGATTCGATTTTAGTCCCGTTGCCTCTGAGATTCATGGAGAAATGCAGGCTCGGTGGCAAGTCGGGCGGCGAAGCCTCGAGAAAGGAACGAAAGGCACGCAGTCACCGTAATGGACGCGGTTCCGACTTGTTCTGGCCACCGTCTTTAGAAAGTAGACTTCGAGTGTTCGAACGGTTAGTATATCCGCTCTCCAGCCACCTTGGCACGTGTTCCCGCCTCGAAGAGAAAGTATGCGTGTTTTGGAGGTGCCTCGAACGTGTTTCAATGTCTATAGTCGGTTTACGGCTTCTCCCGAACGTGTTGAACTGGAAGGACAGTGTCATTGGACTCTTGTCATTCCAGTTACCAAAAAAATGCAATGCACATGTCGGAGAATAGTAATCAATGAATGACTAAAGAGCATCTAGATTTTTTTTTTATAATTGAAGGTGCATGTACCTAAATACGTCATTTCACGAGATAAATGCTGATTTTTATTGAAACAGAAGTGCAATTATTAAATTGCAGGTGTGTATATAAATTTATACATATTTTCACGAGTACAATTGAAGAAATTGAAGGAATTAAATTAAATCAAATTAATCATGGAAAGTTAACTGAAAAAGGTAACTGGAAAAGAATTATAAATGAAATGTTGCGTCAATGTTGACGTTGCATTAATATTGACTTTCAGTGGATGTATATTACGTTTAAATCAAACATAAATATACGAGTACGCATGATGTTTGATCGATTTAGAGCTGGCGCTAAGCCAAGTATTATAAATAGCGTTTAGTACTACGTTCAATAGTACCTAATAGTACCTATTTACAAACAGATACAGTTTATTATTAGATAATGTCAAACACAAAATTGGAGTATGAAATAAATGGTAAGATAAATGATACTACTATACAAGTATTATACTACTACATTTTAATTATCCGTATAATAACAGACGATAATTCATACTCAGATTCAGTCGAGGAACAATTCATTTGGCTTCTTAGATTCGCCACTGTCAGGAGGATTAAAGATTTTTTAACAAAAGTGTGAGTATATACATGCATGCTTCGTAAATAATAATTAAATAATTCTATGGCCATGATTATAGCCCGTCGATAGACCTACATTATCCGACGCCAAATTTGAAAACGCCTGTAACGGCAGCTATTGATCGTGGCGACCTGCAAATCCTGTCGTTTCTGTTGGAAAAAAATTCCACTGGTTTGGACAATGCTATCACTCAACCTTGGAGTAGAACTGCACTTATGTACGCCTCGTACGTCTCGAGAAACCCGGAACTGTTACAAATTCTTTTGAAGAAGGGTGCAGATCTCCAAAAAGTGGACGTGTAAGACGACAATTAATAATTGTTTCAATTATGTTTTTGTTTGACGAATTCACACTTGTAGACGAGGCTGGAGTTGTCTTCAATACGCCATTGTAGGAGAACGATCGAAGAATGTAAAATTCCTTTTAGATACCGGCGTTTTCATAAATCAGAGAGACGCGCAAGGGCGAACACCGCTTATGATCTCAGGTGAGAAAGTTCAGGAGGAAGATTTCTATGCGAACAAAAATACTCTCTGCACTTTTGCATCTCTAAATCTCACATAAAAGTCCGCTTAATCTATTGATTAAATGTTCATTAAGAATTATTTGTACAGTATACCGCTCGAATGTCAATATTCTTTCGATTTTATTGGACCATGGGGCTGACGTCAATATACGGGACAGTAGGGGTTTCACCGCTCTTCAAATAGCTATTTTATGGAGAAAAAGGGACGCAGCGATTATATTAATCGAAAGAGGAAGCGACACGAGTGTCGTTACACCTATAACCAAGGCAACAATTGGTGAACTTTGTAGAACGAGTATGCCGAATATTCTTCGGTGCCTCGAACCAAAAAGATATTATAGCGAAGCATTACAATAGATTCTAAAAAAAATCACGAAATGTCATATCGCTTGTTCTTGTATATTATATGACTTTTTCCATTGCAATATTAATACAATATAACGTTAATACAATTTCTAAAGATTTACGAAGAAGGTGTACAATTTTATTCAGAAAATAAGATTGTAGTCAGAAAACTTTTCTTCCGTCAACCTGTTAAATTCTTGGATCAAGCTGTCGGACATTTTTTCTTTCCACTGGCCGATTTGGCCACTTCGGATAAACGAACCTTCAATGTTAAACGATTTCCATAGCTTGCTCCGTAAGATGGCTTGTTCGTAATTCACAGCCGGATTTGTTTTCATATTGGCGAAATTCAAATGTTCCGCCAATGTTTCCACCTGATCCTCGGACAATGTTTTATCGAGGAACGCAGCTGATTTCTTTATCACCGCAGGCAAATCCTAAATTTTACAAAGAAGATAGTCGTACCTTCGAAAAGGCTGAGACTACTAAGTTCAAGTTACTTACAGCTTTCATATATTCGTATTTCAAAAACAGCATGTTAAGATGAGTCTTCTGCTTCCAGAAATCGAGAATGTGGTCCCAATATGGAGTGTAATTCACTACGAGAATAATAATCTCATCGTAAAGTTACTATTATTAACCCAAGACTACGTGAGGAAAACATGATAAGTCTATTTTTGAAATGATTGAAATATTGGCAACTGGTAGAATCGACTACTATGAAATCGATCGATAGCCATATTGAATGTTAAATTTCAAAATTGCTTATCATGCTCTTTTCAATTATAGCAACATGCCGTACGTTTGTTCCCTAAGAAAAGGCGACAAAAGTCGTCGAAATTGCCCCGATAGCCTTCCAATAGTTGACAATGATGATAATAAGAGACGCAAGTATCCTTCGGATTTCTGGCCACGTAAATAATTCTCGGTTTCTTCTCGCCAGTTCGTATCTGGCGTGGAAGCAAACAGAAGGGCAAATGACATTTTATGAATCTCGGGGAGGGTTTATCTTTCACAAATCCCACGCTATTTACAACTGACGGACTGAACTCTTTTCCCGGATGAGCTGCTTTGAGACTGTTGCAGTCGAAAAGCGCGGAGAACCTGATCGAATGCAACAATTGTTTGAGATTTAAAAAAAAAAAAAAAAAAAAACATCGGACGCTTCACTTTGTGAAGCACTTCTACTTACTCTAGAAAGGGGAACCTCTCGGGCAATGGAACTTTCGCTTCCTCGAAGTTCAAATTGTTCACGATGTTCCAGATCATTTCCTGGGTCCACGTAGTTCCTAGTTACGTCATTCACATTAAAATGTAATTTTTCATATTTCAATTTACGATTTGTTAAAACTGACGGGACTGTACCGGTCTTTGGGAAACTGCAAACCCAAATGTCGTCATCCTTGACTTCGAAGTTCTCGATCGTTTCAGCGAGATCTTTGTATCTCACTGGCATAGAAAAACCATTTACCATTATGTACCCTTTACGAAATTCATTCGTAAATTGGTCTACCATAATTTGATCCAAATCGTCGGTTTTAATCTGAGCCGTCATTTTTTGTATCCTGCAAAACCGTATTTTATTGAATAAACACAACTGCCTTTCGTTTTACACACTTGCTTCGACGAAGTTGAAACTAAAGTTCACTTGAATTCACTCTATTTGTAATGACCATTAATTAAAGACGCAAGAACCGATTTTGCAAACGTCTCGGCATTCGAGATGAAAATTAAATCAACCCAGAGAATATTGCAAATAAATACCGAAATGTATCTTATCTTATCAAGAAGAAGTCAAACAAGATATGTTGGCGATTTAAAAAGGAAGGCTGCCGCGGAATCCTTATATAGGATGACTAGGTAGTAATTGGAATAAACGAGCTAATATTGAGAGGAGGTTTTTGTTTCCGCATTACTTTCCTAGAACAAGGTTATTGCCAATCTTGCACGGCGTTTTTCTTTCAATTTTATTCTGCAGAAATTATTCCTCTCAAACGTTCATTTGCTCTCTGACGTGGAATGTTAGCAATTTTTCAAATTTATTATACGGACATAAACTATCATGGATAGAGAACAAGTCACTTTCCCAACGGCATTTTGTTCTTTTACGCGTCTTCGAGCTAGCAACCAAGGACATTTAACGAATGATAGAAAAAAATATAACGTTAAAAAAGATAATCCCGTTGCACACGTATCGCTTGAAAAACTGAGTTGCTGATCTTTTTTCAAATTCAGCATAGTACGTGTAAAGTGCAAGGATAAAGTAACGAAGGTGTTCCTATATGGATTCACTTTATTTTCATTAATCAAATGAGTACAATCGTCATACAAAAAGGTAAAATATTAGGTAAAAATCCAAGAGACTATATTATTAAGTCTTACGAATAATAAAGGATTGTGTACTGTGTATTCAGGTACTAATAACTACTTTCATCGTCTTAAAGCATTTTCCATGGTCAAGCATTCCATTTTCAATCGAACGCTTTCTCGACGCAGCAAGTTTTCATTCTCAAAAACATTTTACCAGTAAAATGTGAAATCTCAATGTCGTAAAGTTATTTCACGAAAATGAAAATCATTATTATATCATCATATCAGATGTAACATACGTTTTGCACCGTTTACTAAAATAAATAAAATAAATCTCGGTTAAAGTCCAATAAAGTCGGGAGATCCTATTGCAAATTTTGGGAAACAGATAACAATTTCAATTCAAAAATATTCCAAATCTTTCGACAAACAAAAAGAATAAATTTATCTTTTATTTATAATCATTATATCAATTCGATTTTTTAAGTTACAACATTGTATTTTGATGAAACAACTGTATTAGAATTTAAACGAGCATTACATCAGTATACTTTTGATATGAAAATATATTGGCAAGACAAAGTTTCTTAAATTCAATGTTGAATATCATAAATTGTAGGCACAAATTTGTAGAACAACGCATTATGATATTTTAATTCTTAGATCTATAGCAAAAATTCCTGGATCATCTAAATCACTACATTACTGTTCTATTTCGTGTTACACACGAACGCGAAAGTAAACTTTACACGCCACTTAGACGTCCATGTGCAGCATAAAGTAAATATTAATATTATGCATTATTGTAAACAGAAAAAGTAAGATCCAAGAGAATTCTTGAAACAAAAATCTTTAATGAACCTTTTCAGTTTGAAAGGCAAGATAGTTTGTACGTTTCTCTATTGTCTGTCCGATCATCAGACTGCTAATTGATATTTAAACTACGCACAGGGGAAACATTTCTTTAACATTACATGTTGGATATAACGCTAACGCTTTGAGACAGATCTACTTGGCCCCTCAGTACCTTCTGCTGCAATTTTTTACAAAAGATTTTAGCCATGAGTTTGTTACGTCGTGCCTCTTCCTGTTTCTCCAGTTGCCGCTGCTTCTGTCGCACTTCGTTCAGACGAAGATACCGTTTACGAAGTCTCTCCTTCATCTCTTTCTTGCTCATCTTTTTCTGTATGTAAACTGAATGTAACCGATGATTAAGAAATCGGTTTAAAATATAGATAAGATAAACAATTCTGTTAAACATTTGTAAAATCCGTACCTGTTGGTTTAGAAGAAGCTCTCGGTGATTTTATAACATTCGACGTGGTTGCCATCGCCAACAATTGTATTCTTTTTTCTTTTCGCAGTTGCCGTAGCTGAGATATTTCCGACATGTATTGTCGCCGCGTTTCTGCATTATTTACAAAATCCGCCTTATTTTTGGACAAATAATCCTAAAATTGATAAGATATCGTTGTACATATATATATATATATAAAAATAAAAAGAGATCATTAAGCATTTAAAAACGACGTATATACAGCTGTTACTTACTTGCAAAGTACATTTTCGCGGAGAACTTCTTTTCGAGCTAACTTTTTTGATCATGTTGCAAACACAGCCATCCGTTTTCCCTTCATTTGATAATGGCACTTTTAGTAACGCACCCAGGCCATTATTTCTCTGGCCGTTCTCTTTCACGAACGATAATTCGTACGCGATGGCTTTTGGATACGTTTGATAACAACTACATTTTCTGACGCTTTGATATGCTGCGCCGCAGTGACGGCAGTATTTACAATTTGTATCGAAGTCACTGGTTTGGTTCGCTTCGTCCACGTAATTTGGTTTGCCGTTGTTGCATACTCTACCGTGCAACAATTCTTCGCTATTCTTCGCTCGGTTACTACAGAAACAATCTTTCTCACAGTCGCATTTTGCATTGCTTTGTACTTTGTACTGTGCAGTTTCGTTAACCTGCCCATTATTCACGCAATAAGGCCACGATTGAGTCGGACAGTCTTCTTCGCCGCGGATGTAGCGGGTCCCATTGCATTGAGTTTTCCCATTTGGATGGCAATTGCATAACCCTTTCGCGTTCTGAACTTCCTGCTCGCGGCCGTTTTCGCAGAAACAGTCGTTCGAGCATCCGCACAACTTGATCCGGCCATTTTGATTCAAGCTCGACACGTGTCTATTACTATTCTGATAATACTTTGAACTATGTTTCATTGGTGCCCGACTTTTTGTTGACTGGTTGTTATCGCATTCGCATGCCATTGTGCTGCTGTGTTCTTGCAAGTTCCCCCCATTCCTGTCGCGCGCGTGTAGCACCTTCTTCTGACATTCCTCGCATTTAGAGACACTGTTACTCTCCAACGCAATTACCGGCAAAGTACACGCTTGACATCCTTTCGACAATAGCTTTTTATTCTCACATTTGCAGTCGCACAACTTGGACTTCGAGGCGTTTATTTGATTCTTCACTTCCTTCTGCTTAAGTGGACTCGTCTGAACCTCCTTGTTCACACAATGATGGACTATCTCGGACGAAGAAACGCTGTTGCCATTCGTCTGATCGGACAACGTCTGTTGTGAATCGGCTGGGCTCTCCTCTTGAAAGTTTTTTACATTTGTATGAATTTTCTGAATGCTGCCCGATTGATCCTTCTGCTCCTGTAAACATTGCATACAAGTTGTAACTACATTCTGAATGGCGTGATACTTTGAGCATTGATTCGCTTGCTCGTTGCACATGTAGCTGTTTTGGAAATGCATGGCATTATGCGCCGGACACTTGACATAATGCACGATTTCTGACTGTATCAAAGCGGGAATTGTTGACGACTCTTGAGGGTCAGTTTGCATCCCCGTACTAACTAACTTCATCGTAGAATTATGCAAGGTGGATGCAGACACGATTTCACCGCCGGTCTTCGAGAGGGCACTGGTAACGTTGGTCGCCGTTTGCGCGCAGCTATTTCGCTTTTTAATGCGTTGGATGATACTATTTGATCTACTGGAAAATTGACAAGTTGCTAAGTTACAATGAGACGACCATGGCTCTCCCACTGAGCCAGCTCGTGCGTCCGACCCGTCGCTCTTGGACAATTCATGCAGATGCGTCAATGATCCCGTTGGTTTCCTCTTGAAGTGCCCTGACCTCGATTTCTTTGGAGACGTTCGTGGCCTGTCCGATCTCCGCGATTCTTCCAACAATTTCTTCAAGTTGCATAAATGACTAATCTCATTCGTGATCCAAATCAACTGATTTCTTTTCTCCATCTCGGCGTAGCTAACCAACTTCGAGTCGGCGGAGTCGGAACTACCACACTTCTTCAGTTCAAACTGTCTCTCTGAAAACGTAGTGAGCAGTCTCCAGTCATCTTGCTCCCCTGTATTGCTCGAACGAACGACAGTTCTTCTGTTATTAACAACAGCGTCCAACAACATCCGGTTGTGATCCGGCGGAGTACTGTTGATCGTAGTCGTGGTGGTGGTGGTGGTGGTGGTGGTCGTCGTTGTCGTCGTCGTCGTGGTCGTCGTCATCGTCGTCATCGTCGTCATCGTCGAAATTTTACATCTTTCTTTTGCACAAAATATATCTTGAACTTTGTTGCTTTTGCGAGTTCTTTGAGGGAAGAAACACTCCGAGCTCTCGCTCTTGTCTGGATCGGTTACAGTGTTGCTGCTCCGATGACAATCGTCGGATCTAAGGCCCATCCTCGCTTTTCGTCCGTCAGTTTCCGTTCTATCTGTATTTTTGTCTATTTTATCGCTACTACTTTCTAACGCAATATCTTTCGCGACGTTTCTTCTGTTTCTCGTGGACGACAAGCCTTGCGCTATTTCCCTCAAATTCCAGTCACTCGAAGAATCGCTGGTATTATGCTTCTTCGTTAAAGCCCGGAGGATCTCCCTACCGTAAACCTTGTTCCTGGCATCGTCAGGATTCCACGGGACATTGTCTTCTAGATTATGTTCGATTTTGTCCTCTGTATATTTAGCGGTAATTAATCTCTTGACTACGTGATGTATCAGTCTTTTTTTAACCTCTTTGTCGCATTTATTCGCATCGACGAGACTCTTCAATATGTTTACGCTTCGTTCTAAATCCCTCACCAAGCTGTCCGAATCTCCCCATAATTTCTCGTTAATACTGGAGCTGGTATTAGGTAAAGTGGAATGGGACCTCCCGGTCTCGGAAGATGAGATATGGCTACCGCTTCCATTAGGAACGTTCTCGTATACGTGACCAGGGAAATACTCGAAACTATTTGCTCGGCCGGTTATATTCTCCACGTCATCAGGCTGAGGTGTATGCCTCATGGAACCACTCTGAGACGGTTCTGAATAACTGTGCCCTGGTTTCACTTCATTGCTACGCTCGTTTATTCCAACATTCCGCGTTTCATTGGCTTCGTGCTTCTTCAAATTTTGAACTTTGTACGTTCCCTTTGGATTCTTTAACATTAATGTCGAACTCTTTTGCAAACTAGTTCCTCTCTTTGGTAACGGCGGCTTCTCTTCATCGAGAACCGAGACTTGCACGCCAACGGATTCTTGAGTATAAGCGTATAGACTCGTCTGTATAACTTTATCACAAGTGGAAGGTTTATTTACAATAGTAGCGATAGAGGATGAAGAATTAAAAATTAGTGGCAACGCGGCCTTGTTCTTATCTTTAGCGTACAAATTCAACTCGCTCTGACTTCTTTTCAACGGTAATTTAGAAGCCGGTATAACTAACGTATTCATGGATGTGCTCTTTTTCAAAGGCGACGTAGGAGGACATATATTTTCTTTATTCGTATTCTGTTTGTTTGGTAGCTTTCTTATCTCGCTTGAGGATTTTACAAAGGGGATCTTAGATGTAAACGTTGATTTTGGAGTGTCATGGTTGTGCTCTTTCTTGAAATACTGTGTAAAAGTATCTTGGTCTTTGAGATCCTTAAGAAGAGTTCTCTCGCCAGATTTTATGCAGTTTCCTGCTACTATACCTGGCAAGTGATTTTTAACAATCGGAGTAATCTCAATCTCACTTTCTGATCCTGATGCATTTTCCAGTAATGGCGTAGAATTAGCATCAGGCACTGTAGAAGTAGTTGTATTTTTCTGAGTTCCCACGAGTTTCCCTGAAATTCCCGATTCTGTAGTACCTTCAGGATCCAATCTTAACGCAGCGGAACAACCTCTAGCTAAAGCCATGCGTTCTATTGTACTTAATTTCTTATCATTTTGTTTACAAGGTACAAGATTAAAGTAACCAACGTCTGCTCCGCTGTCCCACTCAAGTGGCTTGTGAGAAGCGATACTCGAAGTTGGAGAAGATATTTTCCTTTCTATGCCTCCTTCTGTCAATGTCTCTTGACTTTCATTTTTCTCCTCTAAAATTGTTTCTGGTGTAATATGTTTCAAATCAGGCAACGGAGATTCTGGATTTGACAATGGTTGAACGTATCTAGATGATGACTCTGCATTTGAAGACTGGCCAATAAGAGGCGGCCTCACCCATCTTCTTCTTTCTCTAGGCACGGAAGTCCTTAAATTATAATCTTCACCTATACAATCTTGTCTGTTAGCCTCTAGTTTAGGATTTACTTCGTATATACTATAATAACATTTAATTGCTTCGGGTGATGTACTAGTTGTAGGCAACGAAAAATATTGATCCAAATTTGCATTTTGTGAATACTTGTGGTAATATTCCATTACCTGAGACGAAAGACTTCTGTTTGTTGATCCCAATTTGACGTTTGGCTGTGGTGCCACGATCTGCAGAGAATGCCATGGCATAGAATTCGTGGTGCAGGCTGATCGTTCGACTTTCTGTATTTCTCTTAAACGTGAGAGATCGTCTGAAGCTTCACAATCTCGCAGATGACCTTCACAATTCGATGCAGAGTCATACTCCATAATCACAAACTATACGTGCCTTGTCATTTTTCATTCAGGATCTAACACACTGTCACATTTTAACAGTAAACTGTTCTCTCGAAGGGAATTCTTCATAAATACTAGGAAAATTAGCCATTCTTTTTTAATCACAATAGCACAGTTTTCTTTGGAGGATACAATGCGAAATAGAGGTTAGGACGCTACTGCGAACGAACGCAATAGGCGAATCTGATTCTGTTGATGTGAAAACAATTTTCCCAGCACAATTGATTACGCGGTGTTGAATTATTTTAACGATCGTCACACTGTATTTACTGCATGTAATGTTTTAGTAATAATAAAGTTTTAAACGAATGCTTCGATTGTTTACATTTCTTTGAAAACTTAACCGTAAATTAGCGGTTAATATTCTGCGTCACATTTCCGCTAGATGGTATAGCGGACAATTTAGTATAGTCAACGTATCATTCGTCCAAGTTCTACCAATCATAATCCACGTTAGGATATGACACGACCGAACATGTGAGTACTCGCTGTAGGGTTTCATTCTTAATAAGAAACCACGAGGAGGGATTTAAAACGTGCTTTCATCGTATAACCTCATAGTGTGAATAAGCATAAATGCAGCACTTAGTATAATACAACGGTACCATTGCGGTACATGAGAAAAATGCAGAAGTGTATTATTTGTGGCAGTAAAGATTTTTATAAAGAAGCAGGGCATTTTTACTGTCAAACGTGTCAAACGCAAAATGAGGTACAATATATTATACTTCATTCTCCTTTCTTCAAAGACACGTGAAACAATTTCATTGTTTTTACAGAATATCAGAGAAGAAGTTCTTGAATTACGTACAGATATAACGACCAGATTACGAAAAACAAGAATTAGACAGTTAAGGTCCAATATATCAGGTTTGTTTCAATATTTTAAATATTACTTTTATAAGAATTTATATTTTTAAATGTCATGTATGTGTGTTTTGCTTTCAATTGTTAGGCAACGAGCCACGAGGATGGACTTCATGGGAATTGTACAATTTTGTTTTAATTGGTCTAACGAATGAACTAATAGATCTTGGAGTTTCACCAGATATAAAATTAACAATATTACAATTGTGGGCAACATATTTAGGCAATCTTGAAGTAGCATTTATATCGACTAAAAGAAAATGCATGCCAAAGTTGGCTAAAAGATATAAAAAAAGGTAAAGGTAATATTTGAATTAAGTTCAAATTCAAATAAATTAATCTATATTATAATAGGGATGCAGAAATTATTTATGGCACAGTGCAACCACAGAAAAAATCCAGAAAACGCAGGAGTACTGGGAGTACTACAGATACTTCTATTGTATCAGGTGGAACTAGTGAGGGTGGTTCTACGAAAGAATTGAACAGAACTAAAGTAACTTTTATAATATTTATTGAAATAAAATTAAATGTTTAATTTGTATTTTACGTGAATTACAATTTTTCAGAGACTTTTAATAGCAGCAGATTATGACAGATATCTTCAATCTCAGAACCATTCTGAAAATGATGTTAGTACATTTGTTCAAAGTCCAAAGTAAGAAATTAGATTTTTTACACAAAATTTCATCTAAATATATTGAAATATTTCTCATACTTCTTAATTTTTTCAGAATACAGTTTAGTTCCCATGCCAAAGAAGAAACAAGAAAAATTAAGAGGTTATCTAAAAATCTACCTAGATGTGAAAGAGTACAATATAGAGCAAAGCACATAAGTACTCAATATAGAATGGGACCTAATGTAATTACACCTACACGACTATGGGCAATTATATATTTAGCTTTAAGGATACACAATCATCCTATACAATTAGGAGATATGTTAAGGTACGTAACAAATACTTTTTTTTTATCATTTATCTGCAATTTAAAAAAAAAATTTCCTTTTAGATATGGAAGAGAAGGACATTTATCTTATTATAAGTTGGACCATTTATTGCCACCAGAACTGAACTTGACAGCAACTGAAAGAAGTTTCTTAGTTTCTCAGAATGTTGAAATTACACATAAAGGAATGAGAAAAATTATTACAAGTATGGCAAAATCTCTTCGTGTATGGGATATAGTCTGTCCAGATCTTCTATCTTTAGTTAATAGATATTGTCAAGAATTAGGATTACCAAGTATGCGTACTTATGCTTATTATTTATCTAGTTTATCTATATTTGTTTCTACTTCCTATTTATTTTTTTCTTATTGACCTTACTTGGTTTTAGGGGGCATTCAATTATATACAGGAAGATTAATAGCTTTATCAGCTCCCAAAATGGTATTTAATGTAAAAACATCATGCATTCCAAACTATGAAGGTCGTGCAATCGCATTTATTATAGTGGTGTTAAAAATTTTACTAGGTCTAGATGGTATAACAGAGTATCGTATCAGTAGAATTGCAGAGAATATTAATAGGTATGTTGAAAAAAATGAATGTCTACTACATATATTATTTTATGTTTTGAACCTCAAAATTTGTAAATGTATGATTGATATAAAAGATAAATCGTTAATTTATTTTAAACAAAAATGCAAGAAAATATTACATTATGTAATAATACGTTAAACAAATCGCAAAAACAAATTGGGGGTGGAGAATGTAAATGTTACGAAAATAATGCTCCATGTATAATTGTACATGGAGGTGGGGGAGATATTGACGATTTTATAATTATTGAAAAAATGACAGCTTGTAAAAAAGCCGCTGTTAATGGTTATAAAAAACTAATGAATGGTGGAACTTCAGTGGATGCTGTAGAAGCTGCATTATGGTGGCTAGAATGTGATGAATTTTTTAACTGTAGTTACGGATCCGTGTTAAATGAAATAGGTACACACATGTTTTACTTGATTATATTTAATGAAGGTCAGTTGTGTAAGTTAACATTATTAACATTTTTAATTAGGAAAAGTTCAAATGGATGCTAGCATAATGGATGGTATCACATTTAAATGTGGATCGGTAGCTGCAGTTTCAGATATAGAACATCCTATAATGCTTGCAAGATATGTTATGAACAATTTTCCAAATTCTATCTTTGTGGGTGAAGGAGCTAAAAATTTAGCAAAGCGTGCAAATTTAAATTGGATATCAGAAGGAAATATGGTTGCACCAACAGCGCGTATAGCTTTTCATTCAAGAGAAACAGAACAATTTGACACTAATATTGATAATCAAAGTTTATTGGATATCGATATGTTAACGAGTAACAAATTTATTGTATTTAAAACCACAATAAGATATTAATTCATTCATAAAATTATTATTTGTAGATAGTTCTGGTACTGTTGGTTGTGTAGCATATGACGGATATAGTATAGCTGCAGGAACTACGACAGGTGGTTTAAATAAAAAGTTGGTAGGAAGAGTAGGAGATACTCCAATATTAGGTTGTGGTACATATGCCATTAAAGAAGTAGGTTGCTCCTTAACAGGGCATGGAGAATCTATAATGAAATTAGGATTAGCCCGTGAAATTGTAGAAGACATTGAATATAATAATATTCCTTGCGAGGAAGCTCTATATAAACACTTTTCTCATATACTAAAAAAATTTGAACAAGTCGGTGGTGGAATTGTACTTCAGTCAGATGGTCGTTGGGCAACATATTTCACTTCTAATAAAATGCCATATGCTGTCATTGAAAACGATTTAATTACATATGGAGCAAGATTATATGAAGAAAGGAGAGAAGTATATAATAACGAAAAAAATTCCGAGTGCGAATGTCCCTTTATAATTGTACTTTTAATGTGATATATTTGTTTTACACACTTTTTTATTGTTTTATTAATATATATAATCCTCTCTTTTTTTTTTTGTATTTCAGCGTGGCTATTAAACGCAGTTTACTCAAGGAAAAACTTTTTAGTTTTGAAGAATGGCAAAAATATATTGAATGCAGGAAGACAATTTTAGTACACGCTCATTATCCAACTAAAGCGAAATACAGTCCAGATTCAGATGGAATCGACGATTTATATTTAAAATTTTTAGAATTTATATCTTCTAAATCCAATAGAGACGAACCCGAGATAAAAAATTCTAAATATTACTTGCCGGAAGAAATTATTAGTGCTATGGCAAAACACATAACTAGTTTAAATATAAATGATTCACCGCTAAAGGCAATAGATATATTTCCACCATCTTTAACACCGCTTCACTCGTATCTGGAACATTTATTGGATCATCCGTTTTACGATATTCCTAGTATACTACGAAATAATTTTTTTTCTACAAAAGTTGGATACATGACAAAATCTGATGTGTAAGTAGTTTGACATTATTAATTTAAAGCATGATAATATTTCAATCATTGAAATATTTAATTGAAATATTTTAATCTTCTTTTCAGTTTAATACAGCTAGCAACAGAATGTGATATAGAGTTAGAAATAATCGATTCGAACGTACATTTTCTCGAAAAAAATGTACCTCCATTTGAACAACCTAGAATGCCAAGTATAAATGAACTAAAACAGCTTATCGATATAGAAGATGACTTGCAGGATCAAAAACCTAGTAGTGAAAGTGTGAATGACTATTTACACGCTAAAATACCATGTAGTATTAAATTTGATGCTATTAAAAATCAGTATTACGACAATACTGTAAATGCAATGAGGAGTTCTGAAAATACTAATGTAGACAATTATTTTACATTTGCCGAAACTCTGCCAAATGGAAAATTAGCAATACCTGTTGATATCGATACCGAAAGCGAAGAAAACCCAAGTTTTACTAATGATTTAGATCAAGAAATACTTTTAGAAAAGAAACTACATGATAAATACAACGTACATTTATCAATAGCAGAAAAAGAATCCATTCGTAAATCAAGCAGAGTGAAAAAATTATGTTGCAAAAAATATAAAATTCAACATCAACGAAACGCTAAGGGTCAATTTATTAAAAGTAGCGCTGTAAAAATTGAAAAAGATGAATTTGAATTTGATGCTGTAGAAAATATAAATTTTAACGATATTACTGACGCAAACGTGATAAATGAATCGCGTATGCGTGTTGAAAATAATGAAGAAAATCAATTCATTTTGCCTGATATTAACCTTAATGACATCAGTCTTAATGACATTGATCTTAGTAACATTAATTTTAATATAAATGACATGTTTAACTTCAGTAACGTTTCATGTCTTAGTCAAAATAACAGCACACTTGAATCTGTAGCAAATAAGGAGAAAACTGAGGTAAAGAAGAGGAATCAATTTTTTAAACCTTCCAAGGAGTATTGGATGTACGACTGCATTTTCAGCCGTGTGAAACCAAAAAATTTTGCTACGTTTGAAAAATCTCTGCCGCGTAGCTTTCGTTGGTTGTTAAATGAATGCGCACTTATCGTAGAAATGTCCACAGAAGATTTGTACGAAGAAGTATGTTTAATAGAAAATTATTACGCACACGTTTTAAAACCTGGCCCCTCGAACGGCGATGATCGTAACGACATAAATTCAATACCCAAGAGTCAATTGAATTTTATTTTAAGTAAATGGTAAAGATGTATCGTGTGATATAACGTGTATACAATTCTATATAATTTTTATACATTGTCAGGACAATACATGTTATCGTTCATTGAAAATATTTTGCAACTGATTTGCGCAACGAACAACGTGCTTTTGTTTTGCTTCCTATCCTTTACGGTGTTATGAACCTTTCCTTGGATTTCTAAAAATATCTGAATTTCTGTTTATCGACCGTGTCGAGGAGCGTGAAGCCGCGTTAATAATCGCAGTCGACATTGCGGGGCGCCCCGGTCAAGCAACTGTTGCACTCGTCGAGAGGCTCGTCGGTTCCCGGTGTCTTCCTCGTCCCGAGCCGTCGCGACGGCTGAGGGACGACGGAGCGTTTCAGTAGTAAACACCAGTTGGCGTAAGACAGTGTCGGATGGCTGTCATCGTTCTACGATCGCTATCGGGATACATGGTGCGTGTACGATCAGGTGGTGATGTGTGTACGCTAGCCGCGTGTGTATCTATGTTCTTCCCTCGAGAAACTCGCACGAACGTTCGTGCGTGAGAACGTGCGTGCGTTTAGAATTTTATTTGCCCTCGTGATTCAGAGTGATCGTGAGACATCGCGTTGTTTTATTCGTAGCATTGACCCGTAGAATTACGTTCATCGAAAGTGCACTTTTTACATTTTTATTACTTTTGCACATTATAACTCAATCTGTTGTATCTGTTTTCTTTGGTCCTGGTGTCGTTCACCGAGGCGTCTGGTCGCCCCACCGTCCCCGCTTCCTGTCTATCGTAAGTGATTTAATTTTCTAATAACCAGTTGACTGAAAGAAACTGCATTATTTATATTTTAGGGTGCCAATTTCTTTTGTTTTTTTTTTCTTCTTTCTTTTTTACGATATTGTTTTACTGTACGTGTAACGCGGGATCTCGTGTCAAAGAATTAAAAATATTTTTAATCAGTTTCGTTGTTACGTGTGAGATACATCGATCTTTCCGATGGCACGCAACTACATGGTTCAGTAATTAGCAATCAAGCGTCCGAATTGACATTAAATCGGAGGAGAATTATCCGCGATTGAAAAACTTCTTCGTGCAGCTGCTGCACGCAGTTGAATTTTCGATCGACATCAACGGATAGAAAGCACGCACGAATCGATCTTAATTTCTCGGATCGTCGATCCACTTGAAATCTGTTGCCAATTGTATGCGTCATTCACGGGTGCATCATCATTACCGTTACATAGATATTGTCCCTTTCTTCCGGTGACGAAATCGATGAGCCGTGCCAATGTGATGCTTCTTTCGATTTCAGTCGCACTTCCGCACTAATTTCGACATCTATTTCTAATCCCTTCCTCCTCCCCCCC